TCCATTTTACTTTAATGTTATGGAAGATGAGGCTGCCATCTCTTCCTGCTTACGTTATACTTGTGTACATGTGCTGCTTGTCTGGGCTTGTCTTGTGTTGTTACTTAGAAACATTAACTTAATACTATTTTTGTATTGATCGTGCATTTTGTATCCTTGATTTTTTATTGTATCGTTATTTATAATTACGACTGAATTTTATAAAACAATTTAACGAAGAAGAATTTATGTAAATAAAGTTTCTCTTGATAACATCAAACTTTTGAAATTTATTTCTGTGTTTTAACCATATATCCTAATAAAGTTTTTTTTTATCATATACCCTCATTGTTTAACAATATGAAAAATTAATTTAAAACAAAGTGACGGAAATATTCTTTTCATATCGCGAAGACAATGCAGTGTACATAAGTTTCAAAAATTTCGACGGGATTATTTTTATTTTAACCCTGATTTACGTTGAATGCCAATAAAATGTCAATTTCCGCATTTAAGAGGTCAAACATACTTCGCAGGAATGGCTTTTACGAAAGCTTGAAAACTTAAGTCGTTTTCCTATTCATATAGCCCAAGCGGTATTTAATGAGGCAAAGTAACTGAGAATTCAGCTTTAAGATTGGTTAAGTTTATGTATTGTATTTTTTTTTCAACTGCAATAAACTAAAAGCATTTACTGTAATGTAATTCAAATTTACAATAATATTCCTGACTCTCTTAAAAATATTAATGACATAAAATTTAAAAAGGCACTGAACACGTGATTATTAGATAAATGTTTCTACAGCTTATAAGAATTTACTGACAATAAAGATTAAAGTAATATATTCAGTGGTTACTATTATTAATGAAATATTTCTACCTTGGGACGCCCGATAGTAGTGGCATTGATGTTTGATATGTCACAGCCATAGTTGTCATGATGGTTTGCTATTCTTTATGACAATCTATGCGTCTTCTTTAAACTTAATTCTGCGTAGTTTCGCTCAAATTGGGTCACTCGATAACGAGGCTACAGACTTGATGAGGTAATCAATGGACTCATGGTACACTTTGCGGCTAGTAGCTGTGCTCACAATGCAATCGGAGATTACTCCTTACATTTTTTGCATTATGTCTACAAGAGTTGCGGTCTACTAGGTGATTCTCTAATAGAACTAGGAAGGTGGTGTTAACGGGTCTTTTTTATAATCAGTATGCTTATTATTTGACATATACCAAACCATGGGACATACATTACAGTGGCTGGATTATGTTGTATTCTGTATAATGTAAACGCGCTACCGGGTTTGTCGGTTATTTGCTGGGGGCTACGGTTCTATTTCCAACATCTCATCCCTATTCGCGGATATCATTTTTGCCTAGATTTCTTCCTCGTACAATTGCATTATACAGCCATCCTAGCCATAATTGGCTTAGTGTATTCACTTTCCTGCCGATCTTGTTTTTCTGTTTCCCTATGTAACTGCTTATAGCATCCAAATATAAAGTGATTACATTAGATAGTGGATTAACTACACGCTTATGTTATTTCTTTGTACAAATTCTGGCGCCATAAATTAAAGATATATAAAGAGAAGACTCTGAAATACATACAATAGACAAACGATAAAAAGCCGACTTAATGGGTAAGTTAAGTTTTCTTAGAGCTAATCCCTTCATTTAGGTGAAGAGCTCGTTAGCTCTATAATACTTTGCTCGTACAAGACGTATCTTTAATGGCTTTTAAGACAAAATTTTCTTTGACGTATATAGAGCTCATTGTATGCAAAGTAAAACAATGTTTTGAAGGAAAATATCTTTTACTGTTTCGTTTAAGTGAAATAAAAATAATATTAATGGTCCTTTTCTACGAATTTTTAGTTTTAATGATCATAATAAAATTCCTTAAAAATGAAAGGCATAGAACAATTATCTATATCTATTTAGAGAAAAAGTAGTAAAAATTAGACCTCCAAAAAAGATAGACGAAGCGCTGTGTACATTTAAAGTGAGAACGATACCTAGCTCAACTTCTAACACGCAATCACGTACACATCTACATTATTCTTTCTTTATCAGCCCGTTAAAGTTCATTGCATTACACGCATATTTGCACCTTAAACCATGTTGTTGGTTGCACTTTATTTAAGTTACACACGTATAAGTGAGTGCGTGATATTATAAGAAGTTGAGCATACTTTTGCCTTGATTTTTGCATCAATTGAAATATACACACACAGTTCCTTCATTCTTTGTCTGTAGGTTCAAAAATATAGAATATTTTTTATTGTCAGAATATGTGTATACCGATAAAAAATTTATTCGGTTCAATACGAAAATTCTTTTCATTAAAAATAAAATATATTATGTATTTCATATTGGTGATGATGAATAATTTTGGCAAGTATTGAATTTATGGCGGTTTGAGAAAAATAAAACACAAAATCTCGGCCGTCCAATACACTTTTTATTTTGTTTAGTGCATACAGCAAGAAAAAATTTAAGCAAAAATAAAGTGTCCATTTCGACCTAAATTCACTAGCTTACCATAAACACAATATGTTATATGATATATAATTTGCCACTCAATTACTTCTAATTTGTGTTAAAATTTTGTAAATTACACAAAATTAATGAACATTATTATCATCATTATGGCCCATAATAATATGTACACTGCTGAATATAGGTCAGGAAGACCACAAAACAAGATCCTAAGATACCTGCATCCATCGACTTCCATACCAGATCGTCATTTCATCTAGTAAGGGCATTCCACACTAAATTCCCGGGAAGAGAGAAGTACAGAGACTTTTTTATATAAGAAAAGTTCATCTGATGTAAAGTGACTACCGTTGCACATAAAAATTCGTAACACCAGAGGAATTGCAGGTGCGTTCACGGCCCTCTAGAAAGGAGTAAACTCTTTTTTTGAAGGTCCTCATGTCGTATCTGTCCGGAAAAATCACCGGTGGTAAACTATTCCACAGACAGGTTATCCACGGAAGAAAACTCATCGTGGAACGAACAGTGGTGGACCGCCAAGCATGCAGGTGGTGTGGATGGTATCGGGACGTTTGCCATGTAGTGCTTCTCGAAATTTGGCGGCTGGGATTAATCCAAACAATTCTTCAGTGCACTCCCCATGGTATATGCGAAAGAAAATGCAAAGAGATGCAACGTCGCGCCAGTGAATCGAGCCGATCGAAAAGCACTCGGTTGTCGACGATTCGAACCTCTCTGCGCTGGATGCGGTCAAGTGGAAGGAGCCCCAGCCCAGAGATAGGAACAGTATTTCATGTGCGGCCAAACCTGTATCTTGTAAAGTTGCAGGCGGTGTGCCGGCATAAAATACTGTCCCGCTCTGCTGAGCATGCCCAGCTTTTTAGAGGCCAATTTGGCCTTCTCTTTCAAGTGACGACAAAACTGCACGTCGCTCTATATATCGACGTCGAGGATTCCGATACTGGCTGAGGCAACAAGAGGAGTGCCTTGAAACTGGGGAGATACCACAAAAGGGTTCTTTTTAGCGTTTAATAAGCAAACTTGTGTCTTCTGAGGATTAAACTGGACTAGATTTAGACGCCCTCAATCCGAGACTTTGTTCAGCAAAGACTCGACTTCAGACGACAGTTTGTCACGGTACTCGGAGACGTTTTCTCGAGAAATATTGGCGCGGCCGTTGTACATAGCATCACCAGTGCTGCCATCTGCATAGCAATGGATGTTGCCGGCTTGTAACATATCATTGATGTGCATAAGAAACAGCGTTGGTGATAGCACGCAGCCTTGTGGAACACCAGCATTAATAGGCTTGTTATCGGAATTGTATTATAGGTCAAATAAAAGAAACAAACAATAAGGAACAACAAATCATTAAGCAATTTTATATTTACCAACAGTTCGTATTTTAAGCTTTTTTACAAATAAATTTTAACGAAATTCTATAAATATTCTATTTAATACATTATAAATGTTTGAAATACACCAATCAGCTTTATTTGATTCATAATTGAATGGTGCTCCTCTTTAGATTTGTCTCAAACATAATATTCCAAAAATCAGTATACTGCGTTTTTGCCCGCTCTTCACTCCTGTGAAACGATATTTTAAATTGTATATAAATGCAATACATAAAAGCTCTTTGTTAACTTTGAAAAGCTCTTTCACAACATAACCAGAAAGTAAGTTATCTGATTACTGCGCATTTTTTATTCATGTATTTATTATCATTTTTTACTTATTTTTACTACTTTTCTGTCCATTATTTCATCCATGTCGATTTTGATATAAATGAAAATTTTGTACATAGAAGCAAAAATATTGCTGTCCTATATGATATGATCTGCTCTGATAGTAATAAAGTAGATAGTGTATAGTAATACAGTATGTAATCTTTTAAATTTCATTTATTTACTAACCCTAGCTTACAAGTTCTTTTCGTAATTACTAACCCACTCTATGGAAAGAAATTTCTGAAATAAAGAATAATAATAATAATAATAACAACGATAATTGTCACTTTTGTACCTCCTTTCCGAAGCTGAAATCCCCTCCCGGAGCCCTTCAGTAAAGTACTGAGAGGGTTCAAAGAGAGGCAGAATCAGATTGGACTCAGACAGTCGCCCTGGAATATACCCCTTCTTATCCTTATGCGGCTTTCCGCAGCCGTCATCCGCTCGCCTAGATGACAGAGGATCGTACTCCACTGCCCCATACACTGCTCGAGGAAGTCTCGAACTGTACAGTCAATCTTGTACAGCTCGAGGACCCTCTTTAGCCATGTATGGGGCACCGAGTCAAATTCCTTTCTGTAATCTATCCAGGCGGCGGAGAGGTTCCGACGGTTGCGTTTCACCACTTTGCCAATGACCGCGTCAATGAGGAGTGGTTCCTTGGTTCCACGACCGCCGCCCCGACATCCATTTTGAGCGCGCGACATCACCTGATTTAAGTCCAGGTGACGAGCGATTCTTGCACTCAAAATGGATGTTAGTGTCTTGTATATGGTCGGTAGACACGTGATGGGGCGGTATTTGCTCGGGTCTGTGGCACCCTGATCTTTAGGAACCAAATGAGTGATCCCAGTAGTGAAGAGGCTTGGGAGCGACTTCTGGTTGAGAGCCTCTTTAAACTGTCGGGCGAGCACAGCGTGACACACCATGAACCCCTTCAGCCAGTAGTGATGCAACCCGTCAAGCCCCGGACTTTTCCAGTTCGGGGCCCTACGGACCGCCTCAGCTACGTCATCCGGCGTTATGATGACGGGGTTCATGGGCGTAATACCCGCACACTGACTCGCCACAGCTTCCGTCCAAGGGCCCTCGTTGTGGTATACGGGCTCTGACCACAGGCTGCGCCAGAATGCGACCGTGTCGGCCTGATTTGGTGCAGGGCCTGTTCCACTTACTATTGGTCGCTCCAATGATTTATAGAGCCTCTTCTGATCACTCTGGAAGAGACGATTCTGGTTGAATCGTGTCGACCTCTCGGTATATCGCCGAATCCGCTTTCCCCAAGCAGCTATTCTTTGCTTCAGGTCGTCTATGCGCTCCGTCAGTTTTTGCATTATATCCAGCTGGGACAAACTAACATTTGTCCCAGCAAACGCCATCCTGACGGTGCGCACAAACCTTGGCCTGGTATTGACTGACCTGAAGCATATCAGTCTGCCGATGAGGGCCCTAGCCTTTGCAATACGTTCTTAAATTCTTATTCTCCAGGCTGGGATAGCACTACTTTGTCCAGTAGCGCGTCCAGCCGTGGAAAGTTTGGCACCTATAATACGGCAGACTGCCAGTGCGGCGCCAAAAAGAATTGAGTCCGTCTCGCAAAGGTCCCGACTGGCTTCCAAATAGGTAACCAGCATTGGGTTCAGAGCCCTCACGACAGCCCGATTCCTCTTGCTTAGGGCTAAGCGGGGAAGTCGCGGTCGATTTTCGAGAGGCGTACTGCGCGTTTCCACAATCGCCTCTTCCAATGTACTCCTCATTTGCTCTAGTTCCAGTTCCTGGGCGACTGTTACATCACCGTTTGAATCAACCACAACTGGCGTATTCACGGCGGCATCCACATTTGCCGTTTGCACAGCAAGTTGTGGCGCCGCATCCTCAGCCGCAGCATTTTCACCCGATGAAGGAACAGCCTCACGTCGTAGCCGTTCGAGTTCGGTGACATCAAATGTATTTGAGCGCAAGATATACCGAACTCGGTCTGCCAGGTTTTGCTCGGTGACGGTTACAGATGGCTCCAGCTCAGCAAAAAAGTCGATGCATCCTTGCCCGATACGCAAAACCTCCAGTTTCTCCCCCCTTTCGCCATAAAATACGCCCGCAATGCGTTGCTGTTCATCTGGGTTGTCCAACGCATACGGCGTACTCCACCAGTGGCGGGTGCCGATTGCTGAGCCCGCGAAGACCCTGCCGACACCAAGCCAGCTGGTGGGGATGATGGATGCGAGGAGCTGCTGGGTGGTCGTGCAGCACCTCGCGCTCGGCTGGCGGTTCGCATGCTGTCGCGTCCAGCGCCAGCTCCACACGCGCCCTGGCCACCTCCAGGCAGCGGCCCTTTGCGCGTTCCATTTGATTCCATCATCCATTTTAGGGCGTCATTTAGCGGGAGACGCCCAGACTCGGCGCCGTTTCATGGTTAGGCCATGTGCACAAGCGGGCCTTGGCACCTTCAATTTTTGCCGAGGCACGGCACTAACACCTCTTGGCAAGGTGCTGACTGACTGCGCTGACGTAGCGGTTTTGTCACATAACCGTTATATCAGCGGGCGATGGGGTCGTCACTTCCCTACGCCTTATTATGTCCTCCATGTTGAAAGGGGAAGGGTTGCTAACTCTGAGGGCATAGACTTATCTATGCCCGTCAACTTAAGAACCCTTTCCGAGGCTGAAACATACTGATACCTGGGTATGTCACAGAACATCGGTATCGATGAGGCTGGTATGAAACAGTCAGTTTGCGACGTGTTTTATGCACGCTTGACCAAAGTGCTTAACAGCCTTTTGTCCGGTGTGAATAAGACACATGCATATAACGGCTGGGTCATGCCTGTCCTCATGTATACCTTCGGCATACTCAGGTGGAGTCAGACTGAACTTAACGCCCTGGATAGAAAAGTCCGCACTACAATGACGTCCCATAGGATGCATCATCCGAGATCGTCGGTAATGAGGCTGTACTTGCCGCGAAAGCATGGTGGGCGTGGCTTCCTGAGCGCGCTCACCATGCATAATCGCGAAGTATGCAGCCTCCGTCATTACTTCCTGGCGAGATCGGATGATCCATTCTATAATGACGTTATTTCTAGTGATAAAGGACTTACCCTCTATCCTTAGCCAACGAGCAATGGCAAGACCCGGCAGTACAGGGCATTTCCGACCGGGAGACCGTATGGAAGGAGAAGGAGCTCCATGGGAGGTACTACAGGGCTCTACATGAGCCTCACGTAGATACAGCCGCCTCCCTCAACTCTGGCTACGTTTCGGTGACCTCTTCGGGGAAACCGAGGGTTTTGTCTGTGCAATACAGGATCAGGTTACTAAGACCAACAACTATCGGAGAAATACATCCTAAAGGATGGCACTGTCGACGTCTGTCGAGCTTGTCGCCATCCCGGGGAGTCACTTAGGCATGTCATCTCCGGTTGTTCGGCGCTTTCTAACTCTGAGTACTTGCACAGGCACAACCTAGTAGCCAGAATTCTACACCAGGAGCTCGCTCTGAAATACGGTCTCGTGGACCGAAAATTGCCGTATTACAAGTACTTGCCGGGAGCCGTGTCCACACAGTCAAGGATATTTTTGATCGACATTACCATTCCGTATGACGAGAACCTCGTGAAAGCCGAAACAGATAAACAAACAAAATATCTGGACCTGGCTCACGAGGTGACCGACATGTGGGGTGGTGTGTCGACCGAAATTATTCCTGTAGTCGTCTCTGCGAGTGGGCTAATCCCAGTTAGCCTCTCTGGTCATCTGAGGCGACTGGGACTCCATGACGGACCGCTCCGGGCTCAAATGCAGAAGGCGGTGCTCCCTGATACTGCCCGCATCGTCCGCCGGTTTCTTTCCCTTTCCCCCTAAGCCTCGGCCGTTTGGTCTCCCCTGCCGAGGGCTTCCATCTGGTTGGGCTTTTATTTATTGTTGTATTTTTGTATTTATTTTATTTTATTGATATTTATGTATATTTATCTTTTCATTTTCACTTATAATTATATATTTATAGATCCCAACCAGATGAGAAAACTATATAGATACCCCCATAATAATAAAAATGTGAGATTTTTACAGTGGTAGAGCCACGCGGCCACTTTGCTAATGTACGCATGGGCCGGCTCAAACTGGGATGGTATCACGACCTCTCAGAATACCGGCGTGAAGTGGAAGCTCAGCGTCCGCGTTTCGTCTGGTGAGTCTGTAGGAGCCGTAGGCCCAATTCCCCCCCCCCAACATGGTAGCGGAATTAAGTGAAGATCTGTCCCAGAAAGGTACCAGCACCCTTGGAGAATCCCTTGCTGAGAATCCACGACCGAGTTACACCAGGCACTTAGGGCATGCTGAGTAACAAGATCAAGGCGACTCCAGCCACGCTATCCATGAATTTCTGCAATATCAGGGGATTTCATTCTAATCTTAACCACTACCATCTCGAGACGGCGGGGCTGGCTCTGCTCTTTCTGACCGAGACGCAGGTGTCCTCTCCGTCTGATGCTTCGCATCTCTCTCATCCGGGGTACAAACTGGAATAATCCTTAGTGCCTCTGGATGGAGTATACGTCAGAAAGGACATCTGCTCTCGACGCCTCGGCAATCTTGAAAATTCGGACCTGTCTATCTTTAGGCTACGCGTAGACAGAAATGACCATCCGCACGTGTACGGTTGCGTCTATAGTTCCTATAGCGGTAATTCCAAAACAGAACGACGCTTTGACCACGTCCAAATAGATACAGATTCGTTGTATTAGCAGATCACCTCCGCAGAAATCGTGATAGTCAGTGATTTTACCACCCACTAAGCAGGATGGCTTGGTTCATGTTTAAGCGATCATGCGGGGAGATCTGTTCATGGCCTTGGCATATGGTCTGACACAACTGGTTACTGGTTGCACCTGTAAAATAGCATCATGCTAAAAACAAGAGTACTTCCAAGACTGGACTGACACATAAACGTGCCGGGGTGTAAGCACCAGCTCTCTAAAAAAGAATGATAATTCCGCCTGCAGGTCACTCAAAAGAGATAGAAAATCGAGACACATAGAGAAATCTCTTCCATCTCTGCACAGGGAGGATGACGCACTGGCCCATGCCGCAAAGAGCAAACCGATCTGCTAGGCTCTTTCTGTGCGTCCAACTCGACTCTCGATGATGGAAGGAGTACGCTGCCGACCATCTCACGGTATGAGTGCTCCATGCTAGATGTGTGGTTTACGCAGCACTCGGTTTGCGAAGCACTCCTCTCCCTGGACATCCACAAGTCGAGTGGGCCTGACGGTATCCCCCCAATTGTGCTGAGGACGTGTGCTCCAGGGTTGGCAACGGTCTTTACGCATCTTTTTCGGTTCTCCTACTCTCTAGACTTAGTTTTAATCATGTCTTTAATCATGTAAGACGGATTTCGTCCACCTGAACCCCAAAAAAGGCAACCGCGCAGACTCGTCCAACTACAGGCCCATCGCCATCACCTTCTTGTTCTTCAAAACAATGGAATCTTTTGTAAACTGCCAGATCATGAAGTACCTTGAGAATCACCAGCTGATTAGTGATTGCCAATACGGTTTTCATCGTGGTCGATCAGCTGGTGCTCTTCTGGTCTACCTGAATCATATATGGGTGGTGGCAGTATAGTCTAAGGGGGAGAAATTGACATTTTGACATTGCGAAGGCCTTCGATCGGGTTTGGCACAAAGCGCTTCTTTCGAAGCTCACTCCCTATATTGGCTTTCCGAGAAATTGTGCAATTAAATAACCAGCTTTCTTGCAGATCGGAACATAAAGGTCGTTGTAGTTGGTACAAGCTCCGATTACAAGCCTATTAATGCTGGTATTCCACAAGGCAACCTGCTATCACCAACGCTGTTTCTTCTGCGTATTGTAACGCTTCCCCCCCTCTCATAATAATAAATATGTATGATATTAAACATTTAATAAGATATATATATATATATATATATATATATAATATATATATATATATATATACATATATATATGTGACCAGGATTAATAAAATATATTTTGATCTTTCTAAATGATCTTTCAAAAGGTTTAATAATAGCCCGTTTTTTAATATTTTTGGCGTGATCGTCTTAGTTAGGACCCTTATTTACGTTGTGTTTGTTTAGTAACTTAGTTTTTTTAAGTGTCTTTTGGAAGAATGAAAATTCACTAGAGCAATTTAAAGCTGTTGGTAGTGCCTTATAAGCTAAGTGAACCCCGTTCACGAAGACAGGGCTCGAGAAAGGTTAAGAACATAAAACGTTCCTATTCCACTTGTATCAGGTTTACATTATTAATTATTATTTATCCCTTCCCGCTTAGAAAAGCCTCACAATATATT